AGCCACAATAGACCAAAAACAAGAAAGCCCTTTCAGCGCGTCTGCTTCTTCTTCCTCATTTCATCGTTGGAGATACAATGTATTCCCTAGCTTCAGCGGGGAAGATGTACGTAGGAACTTCCTAAGCCATTTTCACAAGGAGCTCCAACTTAAAGGAATTATTGCCTTTAGAGATGATGGAATCAAGAGAAGTCGGTCCATATGGCCTGAGATTCAACAAGCTATATGGGAATCAAAGATTTCCATTGTCATTCTCTCGAGGAACTACGCTGGTTCTAGCTGGTGCTTGAACGAGTTGCTAGAGATCATGGAGTGCAGAGAAGTCAGGGGACAAACATTGATGCCGGTTTTCTATGAAGTGGATCCATCTGATGTAAGAAAACAAAAAGGAGATTTCGGTAAAGCCTTTGAGAAAACTTGTGTGGGAAGGACAGAGGAAGAGAGGCAGAGATGGGAGCGAGCTTTAACAAATGTTGCTAATATCTTTGGCCAGTGTTCTGCAAAATGGTTTGTTGCTTTAGTATCCAAGAATTTAGTTATATAATATCTCATTATGAAGGGGTTTAAAATTAAATCATGTGTATTTTTTGTTACAATTTTCGTAGGGACAATGAAGCGAGAATGATCGAAAAGATTGTTGCAGATGTTTTGGAAATGCTTAATCGCACACCTTCAAAGGATTTTGATGGTCTTGTTGGATTGGAAGCTCATGTCGGGAAGTTGAGTTCAATGTTATGTCTAGAGTCTAATGAAGTGAAGATGATTGGGATTTGGGGTCCTAAAGGAATTGGTAAGACCACTATCGCGAGAGCTTTATACAATCAACTTACTTCTTCTAATGATGACTTCCAATTGAATATTTTCATGGATAATATTAAGGGGAGTTATAGGAAAACGAAAATCAGTGGTTATGGCTTGAAGTTGCATTTACAAGAAATATTTCTCTCTCAAATTTTCAACCATAGAAATGTAAAGATTACCCATTTAGGCGTAGCACAAGAAAGGCTAAGGAACCAGAAAGCATTGATTGTTCTTGACGATGTAGATGAATTAGAACAACTAAATGCCTTGGCAGATCAAACCGAGTGGTTTGGTAGTGGAACTAGGATTATTGTTACTACAGAGGATAAACAGCTTTTGAAGGCTCATGGGATTAATCATGTATATGAAGTGGGCTTTCCATCTAAAGGTGAAGCCTTTGAGATATTTTGTCAATATGCTTTCAAAAAAGCTTCCGCACCAGAAGGCTACTATGATCTGGCTGTTGAAGTTGCAGAACTTTCTGGAAATCTACCTTTAGGTCTTAGCATTTTAGGTGCATCTTTGCGAGGGATGACCAAGGAGGAATGGATAAATGCACTACCGAGGCTTAGAACCAGTTTTAATGGGAAAATTGAGAAACTATTAGGAGCGTGCTATGATGAGTTAGAGGAGAAAGATAAGGCTCTCTTTCTTCATATTGCGTGCTTGTTTAACGGTGAAAAGGTCGATAATCTGAAGCATTTGCTAGCTAAGAGTGCATTGGATGCAGAATTTGGACTGAAAGTCCTTGTTGACAGATCTCTTATACATATCTATGATGATGGACATATAGTGATGCACTGTTTGCTACAACAAATGGGTAGAGAAATTATTCGAGAACAATGTATCGACCAGCCCGGGAAACGTAAATTTCTAGTGGATGCTAAGGAGATCACTGAAGTACTTGCAGATGAAACAGTAAGTGTTTATGCCTTACTGATCAAAAATATAATTTTTACTTGGTAATATTAACTTTTTGGTACATTTCTAGGGTACAGAAACTGTTTTAGGCATATCCTTAGATATGTCTGAAATCGATGAAGAAGTGTGTGTAAGTGAAATGGCTTTTGGGAAAATGCCTAATCTTCAATTCCTGAGGCTATACAATAATTTTCAAGATGAATCATTCAAGTTGTGCTTACCACACGGCTTAGATTGTCTACCAAGTAAACTTAGGTTATTACATTGGGATTCATATCCGATAAAATGTATTCCTTCTAACTTTCGTCCTGAGTTTCTCGTTGAACTTAGTATGCGAGATAGCAAGCTTGAAAAGCTTTGGGAAGGTATCCAGGTAAGATTTAAGTTTGTGTGTTTTTTGAATCTTTGATCTTTATTCACATCGTTTAGCTCAATTCAGGTTTGTGTGCATATTTTATTTTTTCCAGCCATTAACAAGTCTCAAGAAAATGGATTTGATCGCATCTAAAATGATTAAAGACATTCCAAATCTCTCCAGAGCAACAAATCTAGAGAGTTTGTATCTTAGATTCTGCAAAAGTTTGGTCAATGTTCCATCTTCTCTCGAAAGCCTTAATAAGCTCAAAGTCTTGGACATGTCTTCTTGCATAAGACTAAACGCTCTTCCGACCAACATGAATTTGGAATCTCTTAGTGTCCTTAACATGAAAGGATGCTTCAAGTTGAAGAGTTTTCCAGAGATCTCAAGTCAAGTCAAGTTCTTGTCTGTTGGGGAAACCGCGATAGAGGAAGTGCCTTCATCGATCAGTCTCTGGCCTCAACTTATTTCGTTGGAAATGTCAGGATGTAAGAAACTAAAGATATTCCCAAAGCTACCAGCAAGTGTAGAGATCTTGGATTTGAGCAGGACAGGAATAGAAGTGATCCCCTGGTGGATCGAGAACGCGTCTCAACTTCTTATAATGTGCATGGCGGATTGTAAGAATCTGAGAAGTATATCATCAAGCATCTATAATCTGAAACATCTTGAACAAGTCGATTTGTCAGGCTGTGAACTTCCCCCTCAGTTTCCTTGCAGGTACAAAGCTTTC